AAGAGCTCTACACAATGACACTCATCTCACGGCGCAGTCGTTTCCGGGCCGGCACGCGGTATAAGCGGCGCGGAGTCGACGAGAAGGGAAAGTGCGCTAATTATGTGGAAACGGAGCAAATCTTTCGATTCGGGTCGCATGTGGTGTCGTTTGTGGCCGTCCGCGGCTCGGTTCCCATCTATTGGTCGCAAATCGGCCACAAATACAGACCTCCGCCGCGCATAGACCGCAACGAAGAGGAGACTCAGATTGCGTTCAATAAGCACTTCACGGATGAGTTCGCTTTGTATGATAATCAAGTGATCGTGAGTTTGGTGGAGAAGACAGGGCGGGAGAAGATCATTAACGACGCGTACCTCAACCACGTACTCAACTTCGACAGCCCCGACATCTCGTACGTCGCCTTTGACTTTCACGACTACTGCCGAGGGATGCGCTTCGAGAACGTGTCGATTCTCATCGACTCGTTGAGAGACATAATCAAAGACATGCGTTACTGTTGGACAGACAGTGAAGGCCTTATATGCGAGCAGAGGGGTGTGTTTCGGATCAATTGCATCGACTGCTTGGACCGAACCAATATCGTCATGACAGCCATCGCCCGTACAGTAATGGACACGCAGTTCGTGCGGTTAGGACTCCTGCCACCGGAGGGCCAGTTGTCGTCCAACTGTCGGCGCATATTTCAGATGATGTGGGCGAACAACGGCGACATCATTAGCCGCCAGTACGCGGGAACGGTAGCACTGAAGGGCGACTTCACCCGAACCGGCGAACGCCGTTTCACGGGAGTCATGCGCGACGGCTATCACTCGGCGAACCGCTATTACCTGAACCGCTTCAAAGACGCCTACAGACAGGCGACCATCGATCTGATGCAGGGCCTGACGGTCAGCGACGACCTCAGCAGCCCTGACGGGAGCGACACCTCTGTCGACGGGTCGACCATCAGCTCGTTCTCCGAACAGGAATACCACGAAAGGGTCAAAATGGTGATCGACGACTGCAAGAAGATACTGATCCCCGAGTATGAGGTGATATTAGGCGGTTGGCCTCTCGTGGACGCCGACCCCGTGACCGGCTCCTCGTCGGTGGCCGACACCGATATGGACACAGTCCTAGTGCTGACCAAAGACTGCTATTACGTCGCCGAATACGACGACCAAACGGATCGTATCATAAAATACCAAAAAGTACTGTTAGAGGACTTGGAGAAGATTGAGTTGGGGTCGGAGCCGAACCAGATCTTCTCGATGACTAAGAACAACCAGAGCTGTTGCATACGGTTCCACTACTCCATCGCCGGCCAGTCCGGCTATTTCCATATGTTTCGCTCGACGAACACCCGCTTCTTCAACAACATGGCGATCCCCATCCGCAACGTCGATGAGGCCGTCGAGTCGTTGAAAGCCATCTGCGAGTCGTTCAAAGTGGCGCTGAGTGTCAAAGAGCTGAACGTTCCCTTCTATGAGGGAAAGCTGGACCGGCGTAAGAGTAAACTGATTCACGCCAACAGGGATTTGGCGCAAAACAATCAACTGCTGAAAGTCGGGAACCAAATGCCAAGGAATATAAGCGACGGTCAGCTGTTGAGCCTCAAGTCGGTCGGCTCGAGGGCTATCACCGGCGTCTACAGTCAGTTCAGTCGACTGAAGGGCAAGTGGAACGCCGGAGAGAAGCCGCCGCCCATACGCGAGCTGCCGGGCGGTGGGGGCGCCGGTGCCTACGACTCGCCAAAGAGCTGCTCGCCTTCCGTGTCGTTCAACGTTGAGAGCAGTTGTGAAGAGGACTCGGAAGAGGAGGATTCGCTGCGAAAGTTGCAGAACATACGCGTCCAGAAGCAAAACCTGCCCATCAGTGGTCTACATGCCAGCGCTGAGCGCACCTTCAGCTCCGACTACTCCGAGTGCAGTGATATCGACGACCAGGAGATGAGCGACGCGCCCATCGACGCCACGGATGTGCCCACCGGTCGCGTAGACTCCGATCGCGTGCTGGAGAGCTGCGGTATTCTGGCGACGAGTCCGCACCGGTCGGACGCATGCCTTCCCACCGACAGCGAAGGTATGGTCATAAAGGCGGGCAATAAGTCGGTGTTCCATGAAGTGGACGACTTTGTGTTGGACGCCATGAAGAAGGCGTCCCTCAAACAGCTGCACCGGAAGGCGTCCCAGAGTTCCACTTCCCTGTCGTTCTCCGAACTCAAGGCCTACCCCTCGACACCACTCATACATATCGACGACGGCATATCCAGTAGTGAGCCGTTTGTGGCGACGGGAGGAGGCGTTGACACGTTTGCCACGAAGAATAAGAAGTCGCTCTCGAAGTCGTCCGAAGAGCTCATGGACTCGAATCGATGTACGAAACTAGAGGGCAGTCAGCCGTCGTTCCGGACGGCCGAGTCGTACGCGTCGCTCAGTAAGAATGAGGAGTTTTCCATCACAAGTAAGGACTCGTCCCTCACATCCGATTCACTCAATGTGTACAATAAGATGAAGACCTCTCACAGCGAAACCGCTATTCAAGTAAGAAATGAATCCCTTATTGTTTGACATTCACCTGAAAGTCATACCTATGTTTGAATTATTTTCTTGACACTCACTGTTAGCATTTGTTTGACACCTTTTTATTGAGCACTTTGTTATTTGAAGTCATACTAAACTTTAGTAACTAAAGTGAACACTAAATAGTGAAATGTGAGAAGTTTTCAGTTGGTTTCAAATAACTGTTGACAACAATTTAATCAAAACTCAATTTCAATTTTTAGGTCTTATCCTTAGATAAGCCTTAAGCTGAGAATACAAAAGCAGTTTTTCTATTAGATGTTACAGTTATTTGTGTTGATTTTACAATTGCTTCACATCTCATATAACTTTCCAAATACCAATGTTTTCGTAACATTTTCTTAACCATTGTATTGATTTGATGTTTACAGGACTTCTCGGGCGGTCTGTCCCTAAACCTACCGAACCCGGCCCTCAACGTCAAGAAAGACTTAGTACTGTCCCCTCTCTCTCGTATCGCCAAAGGTGTGCAACACTTGAGCAGTAATCTAAGGACCGGTTTAATTGCCGGCGCGGAGCACGCGATGTCACCCATGGATACAGAAGCGCACCAATTGCTGCAAAAGCGTAAATCATTATCCAAGTCTAGGTTTATAGAGTTATAGGACACATATTCTGTGATATATTAGTTCATAAACATTACAAATGGCATTAATAGCTTTAATTTAGGCAATAGTTTTGAATGAATGTGTCAAAGCAATCAATGAATTGATACTTACCATACCAAATAATATTTATGCTTTCAACACACATACGATATAACAAATTTAATATTTATTTATTTACATTGAAATGTATGTATTTAAATAAGTATCTATTTGTGTTATATTTTAATTCCCAAAAAAGAGATCAAATATTTTATTTCCCAAATGAAACGGATCCCAAAGTGCTGAACGGCTAATGAAACGATACGTTATTTTAGTGATGATTACAAGAATTATGATTGAGTTCCTGTTTTTCTGTTAAAACAGATCCCATAATATAGTATAAACACAAAGTATTTGTAAAGTATTTTTTATTTTATTTATAATCAGTTGTCATTTATTTGATGTGTTTTTCTCATTAGAAACACTAATTTATTATTATATAAGAAATCATTGTATTATTAATTTTATTGAGAAACAGTTTTAATATAAGTTTTTATTTTTACGAATTATTTATTGCATTATTTAACGTTGATAATTGTTAATCATTTAAATTATTTTATTAATTAAAATTCAATAAATACCTGTGAAATGTTTTGGTTTTTAAAAATATATTGTATTTTGTTTGTAAATATTTTCTGTTCGTTAAATAAATGTTTTCATAATTTAATGGAATTTTAGAAAATAAAACTTAAATTATTAATCATTTTAAAGAATTTGTTTACATGTTTCAGACAATTGGTATACTGTACAGTGTGATAAGTGAAAGTACCGAGGTTAATACACAATGTTATCGATATTCTGTACAGTATAATATAGCGATAACCTTTATAATATTGATTTGTTAACCAATTTTTATTTTTGTTTTTACCAAACCATCAATTATTTATGATAATACATTTAAATGGAAAATATTTTGGTGTCAGTTTTGAGTATAAAAATAGTTTAGAGAATAAGGGATTGATATTCGCGTATATAATATGATATAATTCATTCAATCCTATAAATAATAGCAAGGAATAAATTGAGAAAAAAGAAAATTTAAAATTTCCATAAATATTATATTGAATGAGAAATTTGAAAGCATTTAAATTTACATTTCATATATTATCTAAAAAATAGTAAAATTTTATTTATTGTATGAATAATTCCTATGAATGAAATGCATTTGGAAATTAAATGAAAATAATATGCCATAAAATGTTAATACTTTTCAAGTGGATCAAAATAAAATTCTTACTGCTACAAGTTCGTAATTGCTCACAATATGAAATAAATTGTGAAATATACTATATAAACATATAAAAACAATCATAAAAACTTATAAAAATCACTTTAAATATAATCAAATTTTCTTTTCGTTTTTTGATGAAAGATTTAAAGTGGGAGTAAAAGAGAAGTCAAATAATATTTTGAGTCGATATTACTTCGTTATTATTTCGCTATTTTATTTAAATTATTGTTGATATGAGTGAAAATCTATTGAAATGTTTTCTTATCCTTACTTTAAATTTTTATTAT